CTCAAAACCTTCAGATCAGAGGCCTTGCTGCTGGATGCAATTTATTATCATACCCAGAACTAAGTAACTTAAATTTCTAATTTATGGTCTTCAGGTCCATTAGCAGGTCTTGGCAAATGATGTGAATTTCAGTAGCAGTAGGATGAAGTATCTCTCTTTTCCTTCATGTGTGTGGCATGTGTCAGCTGTCCAATATCTCCAGCTTATATAGAGTCCTATCTCCTCCCGGGGTGAGGTTGACTAGGGTCTGGGTTTGGTTGTCTTTTACCTTAAGCATCAACCTTTTCTAAATTTCCATATATAAAGATACATTTACTCAAGTTATTTTCCAAATTTGTACTTGTCCAGTCCCCTTTTGAGAATTGTCAGAGGGATCAAGCCACTCCTTAACTCTAACTCTCTTTACACCACACCACACACCACAGCTCCATATAGGTGGTGCTAATCTCTCTCTTTTCCTTCTCTCACTTTCTCAGCAGCCAACCTCGGTCTACTGGTGTGATGAATCCAACTTCCAGATGGCATAACAAAAACGAAAGAGATTTTCACTCATTAATCTTTCTTTATTAGCTTGTCTCATGCTGGGATCTCTCAATCAACTAGACCACTCAAGAATTGGAAAAGGAAAGAAAAATTATTTCCACTCTCCTTAAAATGAAAGTTTATCTTTTCTCTGTCTATGCATATTTTTTTTATGATCAATAGACCACACAGCTGTTTTGTCTATAAACACTTCAAAATAGTAATTAATTTTTTCTTATCACTTGTATCCAAAGGAATTTGAATTAAGGTTTGGATATAAAATTTTCTCTGGACAAATGTCACAGGAATCATAATAATGAATGCATCCAGTTGGTCTCTATCTCTGTGGGGATACTTCTCTTCTGGGTGGCTGCACAACTCCCAGTATCAGCCCTTATCAGTGGTATGGCAGGTACCCCAGTCATTGGCCCTAGACAGTGATAACCAAGTAGTTGACTCTTCACTCATTAGCGCATGACTCGATTTGTCACTGGTATTGTGTTGGTAGCATGATTCCACTCGACTTAGCTGGTGTTTGTCTGTTCATGACCATTCACTCCTCGAACACGTGTTTTTGATCTCAGTGGGTGAGAAGATCGTTGATGAAGCAAACTTTGAGTTAATAAGGTTTGATCATTTGGGAGCTACACAAAAAAAGAATCCTTTGTAATAAAGAATTAACTCAGGTTAAAAATGTAACAATGATTTAATTTATATATGATTTGTTGTATACAGGGCCTTTAACCCTTCCTACTTGTTATAATCAAATGATACTAGGATCCCCTTCAGAGTCTGCAGCTTTTCTAAATTCTTATCTTCATGTCCAGCACAAGGTCTTTGGTCAGGAGGTCTGAGTGAACAATGCAGATTCTGGTGTGTCTCTCAACTCTACTGTTTCTAAGTTCAAAATCTCCAGCTTATATGGAGCCCTGCATCCAACAGGTGTGGGGTTGACCCGGGTTCGGTTGTCTTCTACTCTAAGTATCAACCTTTTCTAAATTTCCATATAAAAATATCAATGTCAATGGGTTATTTAATGCCAACAAAATTTTTATTGTTGGTAATATTTTTTTTTGAAATCTATTTCTGGTAATATTTTTTGCTTCAAAAGATCTATTTCTGGTAACATTTTTCCTTCAAATATTTATTGCTGGTAATAATTTTTTACAAAGTATTTCTGATAAGTATCAACCTTTTCTAAATTTCCATATAAAAAATACATTTACTCAAGTGGTTTTCCAAATTTGGGGGGGGGTCTTTTGAAAGTGGTCAGAGAAATTAAGCCACCCCTTAACTTCTACACTTTTTACACTTTGCCTTGTACCCTTGCTTCTATATAGGCAGTGCTAATCTCTCTCTCCTTTCTCTTCCTTCTCCCATTTTCTTAGCCAATCTCAGCTCAGCTTCCTGGGACTGGAGTGATAAATTCAACTTGCAGATGGTACAGCAGAAGATAAAAGGGATTTTCAGTCATTAGTCCTTATCTATCAGATTACTCTGTGTTGAGATCCCCTCAATCAACCAAACCACACAAGAATTGAAGAAATAAAAATCTATTTCCACTCTCCTTAAAACAAAAGTTTATCTTTTCTCTTTTTCATGATCAACTAGACCACACAGCCTTCCTGCTAATGGCCATTTCAAAATTGTAATTAATTTTTTTCCCTTACCACTTGTATCCAAGGGACTCTGAATTAATGTTTGGATATAAAATTTTCTCTATCACCAAAATTATCTTTTTTTCTGGGTGGTTAATTCGAAATATATGTTTTTATTTTATTTGATATCTTCATGAATACCTTAATGGACTCTTTCTTATTGGTGGGAGGTGGGGAGAAAGATGGGCAATCTTGGGTTTGTTCAATCTTACTAAATTTTGTCTAGTTAAATCTGGGTTTAATTCTCCTTGGAATTATCTCAAAAAATGATTTTTCAATGCATTTCATCTTTAATTTTCTTCTAAACTTTTCAATCCATCTTCCTGCAATTTCAACAATTATCATCTAGTTAGTAGGCTCCCGCCTCTGCCTCCTTTCTTTCTCTTTTTATTTGATCAATCTCCAGTGATCCCTTTATCACAATAGACTCAACATTAATCTACATAAATACACTGTTGCTATAGGAGAACAAGTGTAACTTTTCATCTGTGTGACATAGCTGTTAAGTCACAAGAATGTACCGTCCTCTCCTCAAATGATATGGTTTATCTACAGAGGTATCCCCACCCACCCACTACAACTTCTCAGTTTAGACACAGCAGCCTTAGAAACGAAAAAACCTGTCATTACCATTTTGCCACACTTATGTACTTTTCTTCTCAGTCTGTTGGATTAAATAATTACTAAGCTTAGTCAGGCACAAGGCCACAATACTGGAGCATCCAGTGAGGAATGAGCTCACTGGTAATGAAATGCTAAATCAGCTTTGCTGACACTTGCTTTACAGTAAACATCTTGTAAATATCTATTAAACTGAACATAGTCTGGTACAAGGCCACAGTAATGGGAAACCTATTGTAGATAGTGCTCATTACTGTAGAGAAAAATGTGTGAAAAATGAAGAAAAGAAGTAATCTTCAAACACATTAATTTAAATGATTTTTATTATTGAATATAAAAGCAATCTTTGTTTACTTTCAAGTTGAAAGAAACATGCGACAAATTCCTCACAAAGTTCAATGAAAAATATTTTCTTTTTCTTTTTTTACAACAGAACAGAAATGAATTGTGTTAGTATGAGTGAAAAGATGCATGTGACTACTTAATGGGAGAATCACATATTTGCGTTGTTTTATATATGTGTGTATTTGTGCTGCATGATCATAGCAGTAGGCAATAGCCACCAGTTAACATTATTTGTACTACTATTATGATTTACTTTGTTTACATATTTTCATTCATGTTTTTTATGTTGTATAATTTACTTTAAAATGCAGGAAGATATTGCATGAATGTACTTAAACTCAATAATTATACAAAAGGTTGAGTAATCATTATTGCGTACAAAATTCCTGGTCAATGGTTTACCGAAAAACTAAAAACTGAATTTATTAATTTATGTTACACTATTTCTAACAAAAAAATCTGATCACATGAAACTAAAAGTTAGATTTACTAGACTCAGAAGTTTATTGGTTAATATTTCCCAATTTTTAGGAGGGAAAATATTGTTAATCATTTTCTGGAGCAATCTCACAAATTTGTAGCAAACAACAATGGTTGTCTGCTTTTTGAAAGATGGAAGTGTGTTTGAGATAATATCGCTGATTGGTTAATAAATGCTAATGTGGAAATTTAAATTTGGAGCTATTGTGTAAGCCTATTTTTGCACAAAATGAGTGTTAGTAAAATCACTTAGATCTATTGAATTTTTCAACAATATTTTAATGCAGTTCCAATGATAAATGATCCATTTCTTAATGATCACTTTTAATTCAGCCAACCTCCTATCAGTTCTATTACATCATTGTTGCATCAGCTTTGGAAGCCATGGCAATTGATTTGCAAGATTATAAGTACTTTCATTTACACTTGGACTATTGTCTGCATTTTTATTGTCGTTATATAGTTTTGGTTGTTTGTCCTATGGTCTTCTTCAGATTCTCGTCATTCCTCGTAAGGGTCAGGGAATTTCAAACTGAACCCTTTAATTAATCTATATGGATTGTCTGTTCTTGTTCTACTGTCCATGTCTAGGATTATCTCCTTTTTGTTATTTAGTACTGAACAGTTATTGCTCATCCTGTTGAGTCCAGGGATTGAACTCACAATTACTATATCACTAAATTCATGAATGGATGTGTTAATCCACTAGGTTATTGTTCCGTGGTCCAGGTAGTGCCAACTTAGTCTCAGTGGGAAACAGGGTGAGAAATAACTGAGCAATACTAAATAAGAATAGTATATCTGTAGATATAAGGAACTGAGAAAGTGCGCTAATCTTGCAGTTCCCATCAATGAATTTAAAACAAGGACCATATGTAATATCACCAATCATTGAAAAGACAATAACAGAACAATGCAGTATACAAAGTGGTAGAGAAAAAAACAAAGATCTACTTAGAGTGGGCTGATTTTAAAATCCAACAGACACTGAGTCTAGTGAATTATGAATTCAATCCCTGGGCTGCGTAGTATAGACTTGAACTCAGTGGAAACAGGGCAAGCAATAACTGAGCAGTACTAAATAAGAACAAAATGAGTTATTCCTAAACATTGTCAGCAGAACAAGAACAATCTATATCTGCCGATTAATTAAATGGTTCAGTTGGAAATTTCCTGAAAGTTACCTGGAAAGATAAGTACCTGATGAAAGACACAAGACACTATAGTTGAAACATTGTGACAATAACAACAAAGAGGAGACAAAGAGTACCTTTATTTGTGAAAGAAGAATTCTCATTCAGGATTTATTTATCAACTAGTAATGGTACCTGATGTTGCAGGGGTCTTATCCTATTTCATAACTGCAATGTGGCTTACAGCCACATCATGTTGAAACACCAGTTCTTGTATGATCACCAAAGTTAAGCAATGTTGAACCTAGTGAGTACCAAGATGGGTGACCGTTTGGCAATACCAGGTGCTGTAAGCAAGGATATGCGGGTGATGTAATGGATAATGGCTCGGAATTGTTAATTGGAGAGCCAAATTCCAATTCCTGCAGGATTTTGTTATATTTACTTATGGGTAAATACCCTTGGGAAAGGTATGAATCCATTTTTCTCACAGAATCTATGGGTTAATTAGTAAGACTTTTATCACTAAAGCCATTATTATCTTAAAAACCTACATCCGACAAGGAGATTGATAAGGAGATTGATGGTTTTGAGGAGCATGGAATCCCCTCTTAATTGCTACTGTTCCCAGATCCACCCTAACCCATGTTGGTAGCACCTGTTAGGGTCCCAGCTATGGGCAAATAGTGAACCCCCAAAAAACACTATGAAAGTATAAAAATACATTTTTATAGTAAAATACTAGCAGTACACGTTTACATAAATAAATAACTAACACTCCATATTTATAGCAAAATGACCAACAATACATGTTATCTGTAGTGGAAGGTATACTATTGCATTCAAAATATATATAGTTGAAACCATAAAATTATGTTCAAAATATTTAGATTTTAGCATTAAATAATTCATAGAGGTTGATATGCCGCTAAACAAAATCAACCAAACAACATGAAATAACTTTCATTACATTAATCCATATAATATTCTACAATTTCTGAAAGAAATCAAACTGTATTCCCAAATATAACTTCAACAACACTATAACATAAAACACACATATCACTGCATCTAGTAATTATGTCTATACAAACATGTATATGCACAAAATTTGAGTATCATCTACCATGTATTCAATTGTGAAAGCAGAATAACATATCATATTTTTATTAATTGCAAGCTCCCAAGAAAATTAAATTTCAGCATTAAATAACACATAAGGAGTTGATATGCAGTTAAACAAACAAATCAATCATCACCTTAAAAAAAAATAAAATTGCATACAAAATATTTAGACTTCAGCATTAAATAACCCATAGAGGTGTTGATATGCCAAAAAAACACCCAACAATAACTGAACAGTATTAAGCAGTTTGTTTTTATTCACAAGATTTGTATATAACACAAAATAATATTACAACTAAATTACTTCAATAGGTTTAAACACATTATTATACATGTTGTAATGGAATGTCCCACACTCCCTATCACCTATGTGGACTGACTATATCAGTAGCTATATATAGTGAGCACAGGATATACCTGGGGGCTTGCTTTGGGAATTACTAGCCTGCCATCCGTCTTTCAGTAGTGTATTCTCTTTTACAATAAACCTCTCTTTCTTTCATCTATGAGCGTGTTGCTGTTCCTTCACTTGAGTGCCATCTTTGTTTGCAACCTCTTTAAGGATACAACAATACATCTATTTCCTACTTATTAGATTATCCTATTTGAGTGGGTGTATAGATAAATACCAAAGACATTCCTTATGAAAACTTATTATTATACTTGGCTCCAAGGGTTCATCCACCCTCCCAGGCAGTACTTTTCCCAATGCACTTAACAGAGAAGAGTCAGGGTCAATGTCTTAGGAATTCCAATAGGGAAGTGCCAATGGGGCTGAGTAATTTTTTCTCCAATCCCATGTAAACATGGGATTCCCACTTTAAACAGGTATATGCCAAATTCTGTTTGAATACACAATTTGAATTTGAAAGCCATTGACAAAACGTTCACTCATTTATCAAAATTAGAAACATCAAATTAATAAGGAAACAGTTATTTTTGAAAATTTGATTTTTAAAGCTGAACATTCAAATTATTTCTTTCCATTAACCAAGAGCTGTTAAGTTGGTTAGGATATAAGACACCTGTTGACAGTTATAATTATAAAACAGCATTTATGTCACATGCATATGGGAACAGACAATCAGATTTATATATTTAAATTGAGCTTTATATATTAGGTATATCTATTTTAAGAATGGAGTTTTTACTAATCTCCCAAATTTTGTGCTTTCAAGCGAAATTTCTCCTGTCATAAATCTTTCAAAGTTTTTCATATCTGCACAGTTTTGAATTATTTATAATTCTCAAATGTAAACAAAGAGAATTTTAGAATATATTTTTTATTAATCTGACAGATTTTTATCACGTTAAACATTATTTTAATGGATACTCATAGTGCAGCACTTTAAGCAAAGTAAAATCTCAAGAAGTGATGGATTGTTATTTATTAATCCAACAGATTTTATTACTTAAACTTTTTTTAGTGGATACTGATATTTGAGTAGACACTCCATTTATAAAACAACTTTTGAACCTATCACATATATATATATATATATATATATATATATATATATATATATATATATATATATATATATATATATAAATGGATTTTTATTAAATTATTATAAATATTAAATGACAGAATTCTATCACTTTAAACATTATTTTTAGTGGATACTTATATTTGAGTAGGTGCTTCACTTATTTATTAAACATATATTTATTTATTTTCAACTGAATGGGCCTGAATGTTCAAGAAATCTTATTAAAGAAAAATTTCTGCTTAACAGTAGGAATTGAAGCTGCATCCCTCAAGGCAGAGGAAGCTACCATTTAGCCTGTCACACCTTACTGAACAGTCTGTCAAGCAAGGCCAAATTTTGTGCTGTAAGTAAAATTTCTCCTGTCATAAATCTCTCAAAGTTTTTTATATCTGCACAGATTTTTATCCAAATGTAAACAAAAAGAATTTTTAAAACAGATTTTTTATTAATCTGTCAGATTTTTATCTCTTTAACCCCTTCCCTACCAATTATTTTGGGAAAATGTTTCATTTTCAGACTAAATCTTTTATTTGTTTTAATATAGTAACTAAGAAACTGAGACACCTTGAAGTACCCAAGTAATGGCTAACACCTCTACTAGACGTACAAGCTGACAATTGGACTCATTTTAAGCTCAGAAGGGCATAAAAAGAATTAAGATTGATGCATAAACACATCTGTAGCTGGTTTTTGAACATTACGTTTTGGATGTATTTATTTGTCTGTGTCTGAAAAAGACACTTTCGATAAAAACGTATATACACATCTACGCTGGGGAAGGGGTTAAATGTTATATTTAGTGGATACTCATATTTGAGTAGACGATCCATTTATTTATCAAACAGTATATTTATTTATTTCCATCTACCGGCCTAAATGTTGAAGAAATCTTATTAAAAACAATTTGCACTCTCCAGCAGATATAAAAAAACTTTGAGAGATCTATGACAGGAAAGATTTTGCTTGAAAGTATGAAATTCGGCTTCACCTGACTGACTGCTCCTTTTAGCCAAGTTAGTTAAGGCTTGCCAGGCTAAATAGTAGCTTCATCTGCCCTGAAGGATGCAGTTTCAATTCCTGCCAGAGAGCACAAATTTTTCTTTAATAAGATTTCTCAAACATTTAAGCCAGTAGATGAAAATAAATAAATATATTATTTAATAAATAAATGAAGCACCTACTTAAATATGGGTATCCACTAAAAATAACATTTAAAATGATACAAATATATCTATTCATTATATAAAATATAATGTGACTTTTTTATATTTATTAATTATACAGCTTGATTATATGACCTTAATAATTTGATATTCCCTTGTTAATGGGAGGTATTATTTTGTCTGAAAAAGACACTTTCGATAAAAACGTATATACACATCTACGCTGGGGAAGGGGTTAAATGTTATCTTTAGTGGATACTCATATTTGAGTAGACGATCCATTTATTTATCAAACAGTATATCTATTTATTTTCATCTACTGGCCTAAATGTTGAAGAAATTTTAGTAAAGAAAAATTTGAACTCTCCAACAGATATAAAAAACTTTGAGAGATCTATGACAGGAAAGATTTTGCTTGAAAGTATGAAATTCGGCTTCACCTGACTGACTGCTCCTTTTGGCCAAGTCAGTTAAGGCTTGCCAGGCTAAGTAGTAGCTTCATCTGCCCTGAAGGATGCAGTTTCAATTCCTGCCAGAGAGCACAAATTTTTCTTTAATAACATTTCGCGAACATTCAGGCCAGTAGGTGAAAATAAATAAATATACTATTTAATAAATAAATGAAGCACCTACTTAAATATGGGTATCCACTAAAAATGATGTTTAAAATGATACAAATATATCTATTTATTATATAAAATACAATGTGACTTTTTTATATTCATTAATTATACAGCTTGATCACACCACCTTAATAATTTGATATTCCCTTGTTAACAGGAAGTATTATTTAAATCCAATAAACAAATATATTTCATGTTATTTTAACAACAGATATCCTATTATCAATTATGAGATCAGGTTGCTTTTTATTTCCTGCTTTCTTTTTTCTTACATATCTATAAGTCTACCATTCGTCCATGCTTAGAATATTGCTGTCAAATATGGTCCAGTGCCCATGCCTATTTATCTTGAGCTCCTTGATAAAATCCAAAGAAGAATCTGCAGTATTATTGGTCCTGATCTGGTAGCTCAGCTTCAATCACTTTCTCACCACCGTAAGGCTGCCTGTCTTTTCTATAAATACTTTCATGGTAATTGTTTGTATGTGCTCTTTGCTATTGTACCTAGACTTTTAGAATTTAAGCACAGTACTAGACTGGTATTGAGATCTCCTCAATTTGCAGTTGAGCTGACTAGATGTAGCCATAAATTCTATGCTAAAAGTTTTTTTTTCTCACGCTTCTCGCTTGTGGAACTCCATTCCGGCTCCATGCTTTCCAGCCAACTTTAATCTGCAAAAATTTAAATGAAATGTCAATCGCTATCTACTCTTCACTTACTACTCTTTATTAATGTTTCCGTTCCTAATTTTTCCACACCCTGTAACCCCTTGTATCTTAGTGGCTTTATTGCTTTGCATTGGATGATACCAATTAAAAAAAAGATTTTTACTTTTAATCATTTTAAAAGGCAGAATTCTTAAATGTGACGATTGTATGGATAAAAATCTGAGATTATGAATACAGAAAATGTAACTAATACAATTAAAACATATTTAAATTAAAAAATT